AGCCTACGGGTGCTGGGACTGAGGGTACTGAGCCTGGGGGTATTAAGACTTTGGATGCTGACTCTGGGGGTGCTGAGACTTCGGGTGCTGACTCTGGGGGTGCTGCGAGTCCTTCTGAAGGTCCTGGAGCTGGAGGTGCTAGAGCCGGAGGTACTAGAGGTGCTTCTGGTGTTGGAGGTGCTAGAGCTACCACTACTGGAGGTACTGGAGGTGGACAGCCACTGCAGCCTGCTCTACTTGAGATGCTCTCGCCGCGGCGATTCGTGCGTGGGTCGTTCGGCGAGGCAGTCCTGGTGGTGGAGGGTACGGTCCTGCTGGTGCTGGAGCTACTAGTGGTGGAGGTGCTGGAGGTACTACTGGAGGTTCTAGAGGTGCTGCTCGTGCTGGAGGTACTAGAGCTGCTAGGCCTGGAGTTACTACTGGAGGTACTAGAGGTGCTACTGGTGCTGGAGGTACTGGAGCTGCTGGTGCTGTAGGTACTACTGTTACTGGAGGTGCTGGGGGTGCTGGAGCTGCTGGCACTAGAGGTGCTGGTGCTACTGGTGCTGGAGCTGCGGGAGCTGGTGACCTTGGAGGTGCTGGTGCTGCTGGTGCTGGAGGCGTTGGAGCTGGAGGTACTGGAGGTGCTGGAGCTACTGGTCCCGGAGGTGCTCGTACTGGAGGTGTTGGAGCTGCCGGAGCAGGTGGTGCTGGAGGTGCTGGAGGTGCTACTTGAGCTGCTGGCACAAGAGGTACTGGAGGTACTACTGGTGCTAGAGGCGCTGGAGCTGGAGCTGGAGGCACTAGAGGTGCTGGAGGTACTACTGGTGCTCGAGGTGCTGGCGCTGTCGAAGCTCATGGCGCTGGAGGTGCTGGTGCTGGAGGTGTTGCTGGGGGTACTGGAGGAGCTGCTCGTGCTGGAGGTACGGGAGCTGTTGGTGCTCTTCGCCACCTTCTCAGTCTTCCGCCAGGTGCTACTGACTTCCCAGTGGCAGGTACTATTCCTCCGTTACTGTTTCCACCGGCAGACCAGTCTCAGCCGCCGCTGCTACCGCACTCCCCACTGCCTGCTCCTGCTCCTTACACTGTGGTGACACAGTCGCTGTCTGAGCGTTGAGAGTCTGAGACTCGTGCTTCCACCCCTGAGCGTCGAGAGCCTGAGACTAGCTTTGACCTTGAGCCCGAGCCTAGTGCCGCTGTCCATACCCGTGTGCGTCGTGTGCGTCATCCTCGTGCTCCGGCTGTCCCAGGCACTCACGATATGACACTCCGTCCTTCCTCTGTTCCACAGCGTGTTGTCCTGTCGTTACCTCATGCGTCTTCTCTTCCTGCCGTTGCTGACCCTCCGTCTGACCTTGCACGTGCGTCCAGTCCAACTGTTACTCGCTTCCTTGCTACGGTTGTGACAGACCCTACGTTCTCGTCTCCTGCTGCGTCTACCTTAGTCGCTGAGCTCGTTGACTTTGCTGCTGTGTACCGCCTAGACTACCTTGCGAGTCTTGTCTCTGACCCTGTCCCTGCCTATCCTCCGTCCGTCGGGGGTGAGACTGCGCTTGGCTTTACTGCCCTTGGCTGTGACGTTCTTGAGGACAGTCAGGAGGAGCTGGAGTGCCTTGCGGCCGCTTTACCCCATCACGCGACCATGCTGCTTGCCCCTGAGGGAGACCCGGACGCACTTGACATCCCCACCCCGCGCTCCTACAAGGAGGCGATTTCGGGTGAGTACTCCTCTCAGTGGCAGACAGCCATGGACGCAGAGATGGCTTCCTGGAAGTCCACATGCACCTACGTCGACGAGGTTCCCCCACCTGGGGCGAACATCGACAGTGGCATGTGGATTTTCAGGGTGAAGCGGCCGCCGGGTTCTCCGCCTGCCTTCAAGGCACGTTACGTTGCTCGAGGCTTCAGTCAGCGTGAGGGGGTCGACTTCTTTCAGACCTTCTCCCCCACCCCGAAGATGACCACTCTTCAGGTGTTGCTACATGTTGCAACTCAGCATGACTTCGAGCTGCACTCCCTCGACTTCTCGACAGCTTTCTTGCAGGGTAGCCTTCATGAGGCCATCTGGTTGCGCCATCCACAGGGTTTCACTGGGTCGTTTCCTGAAGGTACCCAGTGGAGCCTATGGCGACCAGTGTACGGCTTGCGTCAGGCGGCCCGCGAGTGGCACGACACACTGAGAACGACACTTGTGGCTCTTGGGTTTGCTCCTTCGACTGCTGACCCGTCGCTGTTTCTACGCACCGACACTACTCTGCCGCCGTTCTACATCCTCGTGTACGTCTACGACTTGGTTTTTGCTACTGCTGACATTGAGGCACTGGCCCTAGTGAAGGCGGAGCTGTAGGAGAGACACACCTGCACTGGCCTGGGTGAGCTGCAGAGCTATCTTTGCTTGCAGATCACCCGGGACAGAGCACGGTGCACCATCACCCTGACTCAGTCACACATGGTGCAGCATGTCCTTCAGCGCTTCCGCTTCACGTGGTCCTCACCACAGCCCACTCCTGTGTCTACCGGCCACTCGCTCTCAGCTCAACCTTCGGACGAGTCCGTAGAGCCGAGTGGTCCGTACCAAGAGCTTGTGGGTTGCCTCGTGTACCTGATGACGTGCAAACGACCTGACCTCGCGTACCCTCTCAGCCTCCTGGCTCGCTACGTGGCACCCGGTAGACACCGAAAGGTGCACTTTGATGCTGCGAAGAGGGTACTGCGTTACTTGTGCAGCACATCGGGCATGGGGCTCGTGCTTGGAGGACGGGGTTCGGTGGTCCTCACAGGACACTCTGACGCTTCTTGGGCCGACGACCAGACGACTCAACGTTCGTCACAGGGCTACACCTTCAGTCTTGGCTCTGCTTCTGTCTCGTGGAGGTCCACTCGTTCTTCTTCTGTGCTTGGTTCCAGCTGTGAGGCTGAGATCTACGCTGGGGCCATGGCTGCACAGGAGCTACGGTGGCTGACCTACCTGCTGACTGACTTGGGGGAGCGGCCTCGTTCTCCTCCAGTTCTGTACGTCGACAACAAGGCAATGCTTGCCTTGTGTCGCGAGCAGAGACTGGAGCACCCAACAAAGCACATTGCTCTTCGCTACTTCTTTACGCGTGAGCTGCAGCAGCGTGGTCAGCTGCGCCTTGCTTTCATGGCCGATCGGGCCAACACTGCTGATGTTTTCACCAAGGCCCTTGGGTCTGGTGATCATCACCGTTTCTGCACTGCTTTTGGGCTTGTGCCCACTCTGCCTCACCTGCTGGTTGCTTGACTTGCTCTTGTTGTACACTGATATATATATTTATACCTGCTTGTTTACTCTTGCTAGGTTGTGATCAGTGTATTGCCTTGCTATTATAACTTTGCATGTGAACTGGCCTTGTGGCCGCTTGCTTGTGCTCAGATTGTGTGGTGTCCTTGAGATCCATCCTGAGCTTTGCGTTGCTTTGCTTGTTCTCTTGCTTGACTGGTCTTGTGACCGTCTGTTGTGTTTGCTATCTCCCACTTAGCCTATGGGGGTGTGTCAAACTCCATGTTTGTGTTCTCTCTAGGCTATAGTGAGTTAGCCTACAAGGGGTACAACACTTTAGGGTTAGGTACTTGTACTCATGCATGCTACCTAGTCCATCATTCCTACCTGCAGATTCTAACAGGATCATTGGGCAAGGGTAAGGGAGTGTGTCGTGCGGCATGGTTAGTGCGGAGTGGCGTCAGAGGGAGGCAAAATGGCAAGCACAGGGTGAAGGCAGGCAGGGGCCGCGACAAACATATGGATATTGGCAGTGCCAGCAGGATGTGCGGCAGGATGCTGGCGGTAGCGCACGTCAGGGCATGTGCGGTGGGGCAAGGCTGGTCTGTGCTGCGGTTGGCCAGGGGAGTGCAGATTGATGCAGGGAAAGGCACGGCATGTCGCTATGTGGCCGGCCGAGACCCTTATGAGTTGCGGGATCTAAGCTTGAGAGTGTATGTTTGAAAATGTATTGCTAATGTGTTTCTTGATACGTCATTTTTATGATTCACAATTTGCTGTTTTGCTCCAATTCAGCACTTGAAATGTTTTGTTAATCTGAAGTGAAGTCTCAAATTTATCCAAACATTTTAGTCGATTAGTAATTATAGAAAATATTGTTCAGTGAACTCTTACTCGTGTGAGTTTTGCGTTGCCCACCATTTCAACCCCAAGAGAAGCGCAGTGTGCGTGTGCCCCACCGGTGGTGGGGCGGGAGCAGTGCTCTGTCACATTCTGGGTCGTTCGGCCCTCCCATATCCTCGGGGACAGCTGTCGCATAGTCTTATGGCGAAGGCTGTTTTTCCTGCCTCCTGAATTCAGTTTCGCCCCACACACATTTCAAAATATACGATTTTCAGGTTTTCGCCAAACTGTTTCAACCCCACATAACTTGAAAAATTACCATGCTGACCTCGGGCTTTAAATGTAACCATGGCACATCAGGAAAATCCTAGTTCCAAAAAAAATTACCCTACGCCATCAGTGTGACTACCAAAAACCACCCTGATAATCAGGGTATCAGGGTGATTTACACTGATAAAATTAGCCCTGATCCTCAACCTCTGTTCCGTACTTTCCTGTGTCAGCTACAAAACGAGCAGGGATTAGCAGGGATTAGGTGAAGATACACATGAAGACCAGTTTAACTGTGCGTCTTTCTGACCAAGCCTGGGTACACTTCTTGTTGGGTCTCTTGAATGATGTTTAACACCATGTTGCTGAAAATGATGGTAAAACAGCATGGACACACTATGTGTCCGCTTTTTGCATGCTCCTTCATAATGTGCTGCCTGCCAACCTAGTACACGATTGCAAGACGCTAGGTACTACCGTAACCTAGCAACATGAAGTGTACAGTTCACGTGCAGATGAACCACTGCCACATGGAACGCCTGTGTCAACTGCCGCATGAGACGTACACTTCACGTGCACATGAAACGCCCGTGTCAACTGCCGCATGAAACGCCTGTGTCAACTGCCACATCAGACGTACACTTCGCATGCACATGAAACGCCCGTGTCAACTGCCGCATGAAATGCAGCCATCTCTGTTCTCCAAGGAGCATGTCATCTCTGCGAGCCTGGCTTGCATCTCTGCCTCCTTCACCCTCCTCTCCTGACTCTGTTGAAGTGTGTGTGGGGGGGTGGGGAGGAAAGAGAAGGGGTAAGGGTAGTGATGAGTGATGGGTTATATCAGTCACACCAAGTAGCATGGCTTGCATCTCTGCCTCCTTCACCTTCCTCTCATGACTCAGGTAGAGGCAGGGTTAAAGAGGAAATGGAGCGCTCTGAAGGCGGGAAAAAGGAATCGTATTTATCTGGTCATACCTTTAGAGCCAGTACCTTTTGAGTCGACTCAACAACCACCCCGTCACACCGTTACCGTTTCCAAAATCTTCAAACTCAGAAGAGCACCTGGCAATCAAACGTCTTCTATCAACTTCCCATGAGATGCAACACCACTCTGACATCTCACAGTTCCGCCCGCCCCTGCAATCCCAAAAAAAACAGTCTGTCACCTGCCCCGCCCTGCCTTTGCAATGGGACCATACCCGTTTGGCAGCTTCTGCGTCGACTGTGAACTTGATCGCATCTGCAGCTCTCCTCGTTCTCAATCGCATTGCTTACTAATCGCTCACCTGTCAGCGCATTCAGCCCCCCCCCCTACCCGTGCAACAACAGACCCGTACCCTTTAGGCAGCCTCAGCATCGACTGTGAATTTGATGGCATCTGCAGCTCCCCTCGTTCTCAAAGAGTCGTGACCAACCCTGCCCTTCAAATCAATCCAGACCCACAGACCCTTGAATTGCAGTGGCTCCATACCCGTTTGGCAGCCTCTGCGTCGACTGTGAACTTGATGGCATCTGCTGCTTTGAGTCAACTCAATACCTGCCCCGTCCTGCCTTTGTAACAGAACCATAACCTTTGCAGTGGGACCATACCCTTTGCAGCGGGACCATACCCTTTGCAGTGGGACCATACCCTTTGCAGTGGGACCATACCCTTTGCAGTGGGACCATACCCTTTGCAGTGGGACCATACCCTTTGCAGCGGGACCATAACCTTTGCAGTGGGACCATACCCTTTGCAGCGGGACCATACCCTTTGCAGTGGGACCATACCCTTTGCAGTGGGACCATACCCTTTTGGCAGCTTCAGCATCGACTGTGAACTTGATGGCATCTGCTGCTCCCCTCGTTCTTAGATAGTACATTCCCGTCTTCAAGCCCTGCACACACCAAGAGAGGAGAGTGGAGGGAGGAGGGTGGAGAGTGGGGAGTGGTGAAGTGGTGGAGTGTGGATTGTGTGAAGAGTTTGGAGTGACAAGCACCAAGCAGTTAACGTTCACTCAAGAACTTGATGGCATCTGCGGCTCCCCTCGTTCTCAGATAGTACATGCCCGCCTTCAAGCCCTGCACGCACCAAGCATCCAGCATCAAGAAGTTTTGAGTTAACTAAAACAATCAAATGGGTGACAAACAGCAGGACCCACGCGCCCCAGACACACCCATGTGAATGTTGAGAGACTGGCTTTGTTTGGTTGATAGACTGACAGCAGCCAGACACCATGCGCCCATGCCCTGATAGTACCCCCTCAAGAGATGCACGCACCTTGCCCCACGTGTAGAAATGCAAGGATGTGAGCTTGCCGAAGGGGGGAGCGTCCATGTGGATGTTGAGCGACTGGCTCTGATCGATAAACTGACAGCAGGGATTCTCATGCACCCACACCTCCCATCCCAAATGCACCACCAACAGTGACAACCCACATTGCACCCACTCACTTTGCCCCACGTGTAGAAATGCAAGGATGTGAGCTTGCCGAAGGGGGGAGCGTCCATGTGGATGTTGAGTGACTGGCTCTGATCGATAAACTGACAGCAGGGATTCTCATGCACCCGCACCTCCCATCCCAAATGCACCACCAACAGTGACAACCCACATTGCACCCACTCACTTTGCCCCACGTGTAGAAATGCAAGGATGTGAGCTTGCCGAAGGGGGGAGCGTCCATGTGGATGTTGAGTGACTGGCTCTGATCGATAAACTGACAGCAGGGATTCTCATGCACCCACACCTCCCATCCCAAATGCACCACCAACAGTGACAACCCACATTGCACCCACTCACTTTGCCCCACGTGTAGAAATGCAAGGATGTGAGCTTGCCGAAGGGGGGAGCGTCCATGTGGATGTTGAGCGACTGGCTCTGATCGATAAACTGACAGCAGGGATTCTCATGCACCCACACCTCCCATCCCAAATGCACCACCAACAGTGACAACCCACATTGCACCCACTCACTTTGCCCCACGTGTAGAAATGCAAGGATGTGAGCTTGCCGAAGGGGGGAGCGTCCATGTGGATGTTGAGTGACTGGCTCTGATCGATAAACTGACAGCAGGGATTCTCATGCACCCGCACCTCCCATCCCAAATGCACCACCAACAGTGACAACCCACATTGCACCCACTCACTTTGCCCCACGTGTAGAAATGCAAGGATGTGAGCTTGCCGAAGGGGGGAGCGTCCATGTGGATGTTGAGTGACTGGCTCTGGATGTCCGATGCACTGACTGCAGAGATTTACATGCACCCAACCCACACCGCCCAAACGCACCAGAGATCACAACCCATAAGGCACCCACCTTGCCCCACGTGTAAAAGTGTAGAGATGTCAGCTTGCCGAACGTGGGAGCATCCATGTGGATGTTGAGCGACTGGCTCTGGTCGATATACGCCCCCCTGTCTGCTGCCATGTCCACGATGGCCCTCTGCTTCATCTCCCACACCGTCCTGCATACACCCTCATGACAACAGCACCCGTTCAAGCAATGAGAAAGACAATGAGCGACTGATTCTGATCAATGAACGCCCCTCTCTCTGCTGCCATGTCCACGATGGCCCTCTGCTTCATCTCCCACACCGTCCTGTGAATTACCAGCACACGTGACAAGTAGAAGTAGCAAAGGAGCAAATGAAGGATGGGATGTTGGGGGGATTTCAGTGAAGTGACTGGCTCTGATCAATGAACGCCCCTCTGTCTGCTGCCATGTCCACAATCGCCCTCTGCTTCATCTCCCACACCGTCCTGTACACACAACCCATGGCAAACACACCCTTAACCAGCATAAATGCCATTAGATCATAGCTATGGGCAAGTCTTGAGCGACTGGCTCAAGTCGATAAACGCCCCTCTGTCTGCTGACATGCCCACAATCCCTCTCTGCTTCATCTCCCACACCGCCCTGCCAATCACCAGCATATGCATGCATGAAAAGTACAGAGAGGGATGCTGCATAATGGGTATGGGCAATGGGGCTTGTCAAGCGGCCTGGTTACCTGGTTACCACCACAAAAGCGCATGTGTCACGTCACCACCAGCCATAACCTGCTTGCACTCACTTGTAAATGTCTCTCAGGTGTTGTGGGATCTCGTCAATCCCCTCCACCGACCCGTTGCGGTATATGATCTCATTCTTGAGGTGAAACGACCGGTGGTTACCTGGTTACCACCACAAAACCGCACGACTAACCACCAGCCATAACCTCCTTGCACTCACTTGTAAATATTTCTCAGGTGTTGCGGAATCTCGTCAATTCCCTCCACGGACCCATTGCGGTACATGATCTCATTCTCGAGGTCGGGCGACCAGTGGTTACCTGGTTACCACCACAAAACCGCACGTGTCACCACCAGCCATAATCTGCTTGCACTCACTTGTAAATATCTCTCAGGTGTTGCAGGATCTCGTCAATTCCCTCCACAGACCCGTTTCGGTACATGATCTCATTCTTGAGGTTGGGAAACGAGTGATTACCTGGTTACCAGCACTCTACCTGCACGTCCCACTCAGCAGCCACACTCACTTTTAGATGTCCCTTAGGCGCTGCGGGATCTTGTCTATCCCCTCCACAGACCCGTTGCGGTACATGATCTCGTTCTTCAGGTCAGACGACCACTGGTTACCTGGTTACCAGCACACACCAGCCATAAGTTGCTTGCACGGTGCAACCACACTCACTTGTAAATATCTCTCAGGCGCTGCGGGATCTTGTCTATCCCCTCCACAGACCCGTTGCGGTACATGATCTCGTTCTTCAGGTCAGGCGACCACTGGTTACCTGGTTACCAGCACACACCAGCCATAAGTTGCTTGCACGGTGCAACCACACTCACTTGTAAATATCTCTCAGGCGCTGCGGGATCTCGTCTATCCCCTCCACAGACCCGTTGCGGTACATGATCTCGTTCTTCAGGTCAGGCGACCACTGGCCCAGATGTGTCAAGTCGTTGAGCAGATGCTTGTTCACCACCACGAACTCGCCACTGTGAGGGGGAAAAGGGAGGAGAGAGGGGGAGGGGAGAGTGGAACAGGGAAGAAAGGAATTGCTTTCTTAGGGCGTGCTACGGCTGGCAACGAGAGGCCCAAATGGGTTATGTCGCTTAGGAGATGCTCGTTCACCACCACAAACTCGCCACTGGAACAGCAATTACCTTACAGTCAATCCTGCGTACCTCAGAACTGGTCTGAAGTGTGCGGCTCGAAGCACTCGTTGTTTTCCAGGATCTGACTCGCGGAAGCCGTGGGCATGGGCGCTACAAAATAGGAATTGTTCTCACTACCATCCACACCCACGCTCACCTCAGCACTTGTCTTGAGTAGATGTTGGAGGTGTACGGCTCGAAGCACTCGTTCTTCCCCAGGATCTGGCTGGTAGGAGCTGTGGGCATGGGAGCGAGCCAGCAGCAGGAAATCTCCATCACACTTACCTTACAACTGATCCCACGTACCTCAGCACTCGTCTCGAGTAGATGTTGGAGGTGTAAGGCTCGAAGCACTCGTTGTTCCCCAGAATTTGGCTGGTCGAAGCTGTAGGCATGGGTGCCACCAGCAGGGAGTTCCTTAGCCCGTGGGCCGCTATGTCGGCTCTCAGTGCTGCCCAGTCCCAGCGGTCAGAGGGAGTCACTCCCCACATGTCCGGTTGCAACACGCCCTGTTGTGGGGGGTGGGGCATTGGGGCATGGGTGCCACCAGCAGGGAGTTCCTTAGCCCGTGAGCCGCTATGTCGGCTCTCAGTGCTGCCCAGTCCCAGCGGTCAGAGGGCGTCACTCCCCACATGTCCGGTTGCAACACGCCCTGTTGTGGGGGAAACACGTGGGGAGAAGAGGATAGAAACGGAGTTCCTCAGCCCGTGAGCCGCTATGCTGGTTCGCAGGGCCGCCCAGTCCCAGCTATCTGTAGGGGTGAGTGACCCCCCACATGTCAGGCTGCAAAATACCTGCAGGAGGGGAGTGAAGCACATGGAGAGAAGTTGGCATAAGGAGGCACCAGCAGGGAGTGGGCATGGGCGCCACTAGAAGTTCCTCAGCCCGTAAGCCGCTATGCTGGTTCGCAGGGCCGCCCAGTCCCAGCTGTCTGTAGGGGTGAGTGACCCCCCACATGTCAGGCTGCAAGATACCTGCAGGAGGGGAGTGAAGCACATGGAGAGAAGTTGGCATAAGAAGGAGGCACCAGCAGGGAGTGGGCATGGGCGCCACTAGAAGTTCCTCAGCCCGTGAGCCGCTATGCTGGTTCGCAGGGCCGCCCAGTCCCAGCTGTCTGAAGGGGCGACCCCCCACATGTCTGGTTGCAGGACGCCCTGAGAGAGAGGGGTAGAGACAAATCGGGAATGATACGGATGGGAGCAAATGGGCACACGATGGGAGGTACTAGCAGGGAGCAGGGGAGTTCCTTAGCCTGTGAGCCGCTATGTCGGCTCGCAGTGCTGCCCAGTCCCAGCGGTCAGAGGGAGTCACTCCCCACATGTCCGGTTGCAACACGCCCTGGAGTGGGGTAGAGGCAATTGGGGAATGATATGGATGGGGCCAAGTGGGCATGGGCCAGCAGGGAGTTCCTTAGCCCGTGAGCTGCTATGTCGGGCCTCAGGGCTGCCCAATCCCAGCGGTCTGAAGGGGTCACTCCCCACATGTCCGATTGCAAGATACCCTGGGGGTTGTGAGGACAATTGGGGGAGAAGGGGATAGAAAAGGAGTTGCTCCATCACCCTGTGAGCCGCTATGTCGGCCCGCAGTGCTGCCCAGCACCAGTGGTGTGAAGGAGTCACTCCCCACATGTCTGGTTGCAAGATACCCTGAGGTGGTGAGGGGTGGTGAGGGGTGGTGTGGGAAGGGTGGGAAGGAGGGGCATGGTGCGCAAGTGCGCATGGGAGTGGAACCAGCAGTCACCACTTCAGGGCAAAAAGAGACTTCTCAATTTGGTGTTACTATTGAGAATTCTCAAAATTTCAGCCTAGCCTAGTCACCACATGCTCCCCAACAACATGCATCTCATCCGACCCACATTATTATATTTCCACGTCAGCAGCATACCTTGCTGACAGGGCAGCCGGGGTACGACTCGTACGTGCCTTCCTCCTTTGCCAGCTGGCACGACGTGCGGAGCGCGTGGTAGTAGATGGTCTCAAAAATATCCCGGTTCAGTTGTCGGGCCTGGTGGGTGGAGACAAGGGGAACGCGGAGGATTAACAGGCAAGACAGCACAGCATGGCATGGCATGACGTGCGGAGTGCGTGGTAGTAGATGGTCTCGAAGATGTCCCGGTTCAGTTGTCGGGCTTGGTGGGTGGAGACAAGGGGAACACGGAAGATTAACAGGCAGACAACACAGCATGGCATGGCATGACGAGCGGAGCGTGTGGTAGTAGATGGTCTCGAATATGCTCCGGTTCAGTTGTCGCGCCTGATGGATAACAGTGGGCAACGTGATATAAGTGTAGTATTGAGACGTCTCAAAACAACGTGCGAAGAGTGTGGTATATGCCCTGATTCAGTTGTCGCACCTGATCGTTAGCAATGTGCAAGGGGGAAGGAGGGGAAGGGAGAGAAGGAGTTGTGAGAAAAGGACAAAGACGAATGAACGAGCTGGTATGATATGTGCAGTGAGTGGTAGTAGCTAGTTTCCTCCCATTCAACTGCTCCTGCAGTTTGCTCAGCTGGCGGATTCGCAGAAGTTGTTGGTAAAGGAGCTGCAGAGCAAGGTGGAGCGGTTGAATGGGCAGGTGGAGCAGTCAAATGGGCAGGTGTAGCAGTTGAATGGGTAGGTGGAGCAATCGAATAGGCAGATGGAGCAGTGGAATAGGCAGGTGGAGCAGTTGAATAGGTAGGTGGAGTAGTTGAATGGGAAAATGGAGGGTGAGAGGGAGAGGTGGAGGCTAAAGGAGGAACAACCGAATGCTAAAGTTGAAGAACTGCAAATGAAAGTAGAGGAGCAAAGAGAGGGTGAAAGAACAAGAGTCTTTCAACTTTAGCCCTCAATTGTTCCTCCTCCAGCCTCCACCTCTCCCTCTCCCCCTCCATCTTCCCATTCATCTGCTCTACCTACCCATTCAACTGCTCCACCTGCCCATTCGATTGCTCCACCTGCCCATTCAACTGCTCCACCTTGCTCTGCAGCACCTCTACCAACAACTTCTGCGTATTTGCCAATTGAGCAAACTGCAGGAGCAGTTGAATGGGAGGAAAGTACTTGAAAATGTGGGTAGGTGAGAGGGAGAGTAGTTGGAAGGCGGGAGGTGAAGAGGTAGAGGGGTTTCTGTGCCCCCCATACCAAACCTCGCATGTACCACATGCCTGAGGCGAGTCAAAGGGCATGCCGAGAACAATGAAAGCGATGGGCCAGCCCCTACACTTCCAGGCTGATGGGGCAGTGGCGCACGCTGAGATGGGCCGTCTGAAGCACTTCCTTTCCCCACCTTGTGTTCTCGACACAGACCTCGCACGTACCACATACCTGAGGCGAGCCCTTCCTTTCCCCACCTTGTGTTCTCGACACAGACCTCGTATGTACCACATACCTGAGGCGAGTCAAAGGGCATGCCAAGAAGAATGAATGCATCTGCCAGCCCCTGCACGCCGAGGCCGATGGGCCGGTGGCGCATGTTGGAGCGACGGGCTGACTCGGTGGGATAGTAGTTGACGTCGATGACTCTGTTGAGATTGCGTGTCACAACCTCTGTGATCTGAAGGGCATGAATATGGGGAGATGGAAGCAAGTGGGGAACGGGAGGGGGGTGGGATAGTAGTTGACGTCGATGACTCTGTTGAGATTGCGTGTCACCACCTCTGTGATCTGGGGTTTGCAGGCAAGGAGAGGGGCAAGGGGGAGGACTGAGTGAGTGAGGACCGTGGGGAGATGGAAGAAAGTGGGGAACAGGAGGGAGAGGTGGGTGATGGAGGGATAGAAGTTGACGTCGATTACTCTGTTGAGGTTACATGATACAAACATGGCGATCTAAGGTGGTGTGAGCATTGGGAGACGGACCCGGGCAGGGAATCAGAAGGGAGGAGTGGCTGGTGGGTGGGGTAAGAGGAGAAGCACGAAGCAAGTTGAGAATGAAAGGGAGGAAAAGCACGGGTCATCTCACCTCCCCCAGCTTCTCAAAGTCGAAGAATCGCTGGTCGTGGTTGAGGCTTCCAGTCAGCTTGGACGGATGGGCTTCAGACGGAACCCCCTGCACCAAACACAGCATTAATGGCCAGGACACGTGATATGCTTTTTGAGAAATCTAAAAAAAAAGGCTTCTAACAGCACAACCTGCACCACACACAGCATTTATGGCCACGACACGTGATATGCTTTTTGGAGTTCTCAAAAATAGCTTCAGACAGCACCCCCTGCAGAACAGATGGCATCAATTGGCAGGAAGCGTGATGTGCGAAAAACACGAGGGTTGCAGATAGCAGTCTCCTCAGGGCTCGTGAACTCTAGAATCTCCGTGCACAGGTTGCTGCACTTGATGGCGCCCACACTCCCCACCACTACCCCACCTCACTATCCCACTTCTCCCTCACATGCTCTCCCACCACTCCCTCACTTGGGTATACAACTTCAGGTATAGGTTGCAGATGGCAGTCTCCTCAGTGCTCATGAACTCAACGATCTCTGTGCACAGGTTGCTGCACTTGATGCTGCTACCTACACTCCCCACCACTACCCCACCTCACTATCCCAACCTTCTCTCACCTTTTCTCGCACGAATCGTGGCAGGGCGATGGACACAAGGTTGCAAACAGCAGTTTCCTCCGGGCTGGTATATTCGACAATCTCCGTGCACAGGTTGCTGCACTTGATAGTTCCCAGGTTCTGCTGGTTCGACTTGCGATTGCACGCGTCCTGCTCGTGGGAAGAGGAGAAGGGCGTGGGAGGGAAGGGAGGGTGCTTTAGCGAAGGGCATTCAGCAGCACAGGTTGCCCCGAAGTGTTGGCGTGTTGCTTCTAAAACAAGTTTCTTCTTAACCCGTGCGCGCCTCACAGATGGCGTTTGTGTCGAGTCAGAAAGCAAACAACAGCACCATACTCCACACGCAGACCACAGCAGCTCTCACCTTGAACAGCATGTACGGATTTCCTGTCTCAATCTGCGCCTCACAGATTGCAAACCAGAGCTTCTGTGACGGTATCACCCGCTTGGCTCGGCCCTGAAGGGAGAAGATAAGTTGGAGGGGAAGGCAGAGTAGGGGGAGTTTCAGTGAGAGACCTCTGGAAAACCACAGAGGGGAAGTTGCATGAAGCGAACCACAGCTGCTGCCACAGCTGCTGCCACAGCTGCTGCCACAGTGCCAGACGCAAGCCTCGGCCATACGGGAGAGGAGAGGTTGGATGTGTCGTGTTTTGAGTCGACTCGAAACACGACCCATTTCACAAGGTGTTGAGTCGACTCGAAACACGACCCATTTCACAAGGTGTTGAGTCGACTCGAAACACGACCCATTTCACAAGGTGTTGAGTCGACTCGAAACACGACCCATTTCACAAGGTGTTGAGTCGACTCGAAACACGACCCATTTCACAAGGTGTTGAGTCGACTCAAAATGCGAACCACAGCTGCTGCCACACTGTCAGACGCAAGCCTCGGCCATATGGGAGGGGAGAGGTTGGATAGGAAGAGGGGCAGAGAGGGGTGCGTATCAGCGTCCCGAGGGTGCCTTGGTGGCCTAGGCTTGGCCCTTGTGGCATTTTGAGTCGACTCAAAAGCAGGGTGCCTTTTGAGACATCTCAAAAGTTGCCAGCAGGGTGCCTTGGGGGCCTAGGCTTGGCCCTTGTGGCAGAGGCAAACCACAGTGTTGCGCGGTATGCTCGGGCCTAGTTGACTTTTGAGTCGACTCAAAAGGCAAACCACAGTGTTGCGCGCTATGCTCGGGCCTAGTTGACTTTTGAGTCGACTCAAAAGGCAAACCACAGTGTTGCGCGCTATGCTCGGGCCTAGTTGACTTTTGAGTCGACTCAAAAGGCAAACCACAGTGTTGCGCGCTATGCTCGGGCCTAGTTGACTTTTGAGTCGACTCAAAAGGCAAACCACAGTGTTGCGCGCTATGCTCGGGCCTAGTTGACTTTTGAGTCGACCCAAAAGGCAAACCACAGTGTTGCGCGCTATGCTCGGGCCTAGTTGACTTTTGAGTCGACTCAAAAGGCAAACCACAGTGTTGCGCGCTATGCTCGGGCCTAGTTGACTTTTGAGTCGACTCAAAAGGCAAACCACAGTGTTGCGCGCTATGCTCGGGCCTACGCCACGCCAAGCGGCTGACAAGAAAACATTCAAATTCTACTTCTGCTACAAACACGCCCCTGTCTGCCAGCACCCACCTCCCGCTCGTATCTGAGGTACAGCGTCTCGAACTCCTCTCCTCAGCAGTCCGCCAGGGCAGACAAGCTCCAACTAGTCAATTCTACTTCTGCTACAAACACGCCCCTGTCTGCCAGCACTCACCTCCCGCTCGTATCTGAGGTAGAGCGCCTCAAAATCCTCCCCCCAGCAGTCCGCCAGACCAGGGGCCTCGTTGGGGCAGAAGAGCGACCAGGGCATGTTGGACTGTGGATGGGGGGAGGGAGGGGGAATGGAGAATGGTGTTGGGGATATATAGGGGGGGTAAAATGGATTCCATGCAGTCTGCTAGGCCAGGGGCCTCGATGGGGCAGAAGAGCGACCAGGGTGTGTTGGCCAGGAGAAGGAGGGTTGGCAGGGAGAATGGGAAATTGGATTGAGATATATGTACGATGAGAAATTCAGAAAGTGAATCCGCCCATCCTACCCTCTCACTCACCTGCACACGTTGCATGTGGAGAACAGGGATCCGCAGCCCATAAGAAAAAGGCCCCTCGCCCTGTTCTCCTCTTCTCTGTAGTTCTTCTGCAGGTCAAGCTAGTCAAGGAAGTCAAGCAAGTCAACACAACACGCACATCCTACCCTCCCTCTCACACTCACCTGCACACGTTGCATGAAGAGGTCGGGAATCCACAGCCCGTAAAACAAGTCCCTTGCTCTATTCTCCTCCTTGCCATGGTTCTTCCTCAGGTCAAGAAAGTCAAGCACGTCTGAATGCCAAGGCTCAATGTAGATTGCAAACGCACCTGGATGGGGCCAAAGGGTGGTGTGCAATAAGGCAAGGCAGGTTGGCAGGAGAACAGCAGAGAATAGGGGGAGTGTGGCGAGTGCCCATATCCTGAATCCATACTCCTATAATCCTAAATCCCTAACCACAAACCGAAAATTCATACTCCCAAACTAAATCCCTCAACTCCCGAGCCAACCCCATGCCCCTACCCTCTCTAAACCTCACCATCTTGCTTGCCTCCGCCCTGGTCCACGTATCTCGCCGTGTCATTAAACACCCTCAGCATGGGCACTACTGAGGCAAGCACTAAACTTGAAAACCAAAACCCAGAACCCTGCCCCGTTGAACCCTCACCTTTGCGCTTGCCTCCGCCCTGGTCCACGTATCTCGCCGTGTCATGTCATTGAACGCCCCCTCAGCATGGGCACTCTCCGACAAACCCTAACCCAAAACCTGCAACCCTCCCCCCCAACCCAATCTGTACCTTTGCGCTTGCCTCCGCCCTGGTCCACGTATCGCGCTGTATCATTGAACACCCTCAGCATCGGCACAATCCCATTCGACATGCCGTTGGTGCCACGAATGTAGCTGCCCTTTGCGCGGATGCAGTGTGCGGACAAGCCAATGCCGCCCGCTGACTTGCTGATCACTGCACACTCCTTGAGCGTGTCGTAGATGCCCTCGATGCTGTCCTCCTTCATACAGACGAGGAAACAGCTGCTTAGCTAGTGGGGGGAACAAGAGAGATGAACGGCAATTTACAAGCACATGGAGTGAGAGAGCACTCCTTGAGCGTGTCATAGATGCCCTCGATGCTGTCCACCTTCATGCACACCAGGAAGCAGCTGCTCGGCTGGTAGATAGGAAGGAAGGGATGCAGAAGAGAGAAGGGGCATTGCAGGGAGACAGCCACTGAACGGTCACTTCTTGAGAGCGTGGCATATCGTATAGGCCCTGCAACCTAAAAATGCCGCTGTTGAGAAGAGTTGGAGAAGCGTGGATGAACCAGCAATGCGACATGGGGTGGTACGTCTGCCGCACTACTGCCTCGACTCCTTGTGAATGCATCGATGACACAAAGCTGAAGATATTGGAGGCGTACATGCATGCAAACCACCTCTTTGTGGACCACGAGATTGTGAGTTGTGATGATGGCTTGGTGTGATACGAATTTAACTCAATGCACATTCAGATCGGAACGCAAATCACACCAAGTCATCATCACAACTCACAGTCTCATGGTCCACAAAGAGGTGGTTTGCATGCATGTACACCTCCACTATCCTCAGCTTTCTCTCATCCCGCCCTCTGGGTGAACCAGCGCTCCGACATGAGGTGGTAAGTCTGCACGGCTGCCTCTATGTCCTCCTTGTGAATGCATCAATGCTCATCCCCTTGTGACCACACCAAACTGCAGGGGGATTCTGACAGCCAGACCTACCTGCGGCCTGGGTGTGCCACTGTTGAAGAGCGTGGGAGATGCATGTGTGAACCATCGCTGGGACATGAGGTGGTAGGTCTGCACGGCTGCCTCAATGGCCCATAGCCTTTAAAAGTGGCGGGACGAATGGGGAGAGAGAGAGCCCTCACCTGGGGCCTGGGCGTGCCGCTGTTGAAGAGCGTGGGAGATGCATGTGTGAACCATCGCTGCGACATGAGGTGGTAGGTCTGCACGGCTGCCTCTATGTCCTCCTTGTGAATCCCCACCGCCACTCGCATCAGCATGTGCTGCGGTCGCTCAACAACCTTCCCGTTCACCTGGCAGGAGAGATTGAGGAGACAAGGGAGAGAGGGGAGAGAAGGGGTATGAAAGTGAGAAAACGAGATGCAATACCCCAGCTTGTGAATCCCCATCGCCACTCGCAGCAGCAGCATGCGCTGTGGTTGCACCACCACCATGCATTGCCTTCACCTGGAAGAGAACTAGTGAGAGAGAGATGAAACGATGGTGGGAAAACAGGAGAGAGCTGCAACGATGGTGGAAAAACAGGAGAGAGCTGCAACGATGGTGGGAAAACAGAACCACTGCACAAGTGATAACATTCAGCAGGCATAGGTCCAACCAAAACAAATCTTACCTTGAGCCGCCCACTTTCCTTGCGCAGCCCACTTACCCTGAGCCGCCACTTACCTGGAGCAGCCCACTCACCTTGAGCAGGTAGGAGCGCTCGAGGGTCTTAAAGCCAAAGTAGTCATAGTCGAAGTCCCGGTCGTATATGACCTCGCTGTCTAGCCTCTCCGCATGCTGGTGGGTGCAGAAAGGTGGATCGACGGAGGAAAGGAGAAAACATGCCGTTAAGCATGCAGTTATGCACAAAGAGGTTGCATGGAGAGAACAAAAGGAGACGAGAGAGAAGTTACACGCAGCTCATGCTCCCTCTCTTATAGTAACAAGCATAGAATTGTGTCAATCAAGGTTGACCTTCATTCTTACCTCCTAGCAGACTCTTTCTCACCTTCATGATAATCTCGTAGACGTCATCTGCGATCAAGGGTGCGGGAAGCCCTGACTCCTGGTTCACATGCGCGTACATGTCCTTCACCCTGCATACCAGAGCAGAGAGGCATGGCATGGAAGGTGCTCAAACATTCGATCACGGGTGAGTGAGGGTAGCCCTGATTCCTGGTTCACATGCGTGTACATGTCCTTCACACTGCAGAGGCATAGAGACATGGCATGGCATGGCATGGAATGAGGCGTTCCATAAATTATGATCAAGGGTGCGGAAAGCGCTGATTCCTGGTTCACATGCGCGTACATGTAAGTCACACTGCAGAGAAGAGAGGCATGGCATGGCACGGAACTTGAGATACATCGCACATTGCGATCAAGGTGGCGGGCATATCTGCCTCTAATACTACCAGTCAATCAGTCCAACCAATCAAAACGCACGTTTCAGAGAACGACTTCTTTGTCTTCTTGTGCAGGTTGGAGACTGCAATACGCGCAGCCAGCTGCGGGTTCAGGGTTTAGGTTTCGGAAAGTGAATGGGGAAGGAGTGAGAGAGGAGGGCATATGTAACAGAGTGGGAAAGACAAAATAGGATGAGGAAAGATGCTTGTTCAGAGTAGCAGCAAAAGCTGCGTTTGAGCTTGCAGGCGGAAATAATTGCATTGAGACCAACGCGGCACTGCACAGCACATTTGATAGAGAGACTCAAGAAGTCAAATGGACTCACACGGACCATAGCAAAAACGAGTTGGAATGACGCACTGTGCTTCACATGAATTAAGATTGACAATTGACTCAATAAACCAAAAGATTTTACTCACAAGAGCGTAGTCTGGGTGGGTGGCCGTCATTCCCGCTGCGGTTTCAGCTGCCAGCTCATCGAGCTGCGCTGTAGTCACACCCTTGTACACGCCCATGCACACCTGGGGATATAAATAGACCATCAGAAGGTGACAATAAAGAAATCGCCTTTTTTGTGTTAAGGATGATCACCAGACGCAGGACAAAGAGTGATTTGCTCTTGCAACGTTCCAAGGATGACAGTGAAAGAGCAAAAAGGTGACATTGAAGGGGTGATGGCCGCAAGGTGACAATAAAGAAGTGATGGCAGCAAGCGACGCGAGTGGATAATCCACCAGATTAAGGAGCTTTATTTGGTGCATCCGAAAAACACTGCTTAGCCAGGGAAGGTTCGTACCTTCTGATCCTAAAAGCGACTGCTTATCCCGGGGACGGCTCTTACGTTCTGATCCAAAAAGCGAATCCGAAGTATGGCTCGCACCTTCGGATCCTTAAAGCGACTGATTATGTAGGAGATGGCTCGTACCTTCTGAGCCACTAAGACGGGATCGCAGAATTCCGTGCTGAGACCGTAGCTGAGCTTCTTCAATCGAGCGGTGATCTTATCGAAGTGCACGGCCTCCTTCCGGCCGTCGCGCTTGACAACGTACATCGCGAGGAGAACGCGAAGCCTTGGTGTGAGACCCCTTATAACGCGAGCAAACGATATCGAATGAGCTCTTTTAAGTCGCTGTAACCGCGGAATGCAGCACGCGACAAAAGGAGTTAATCAGGACTGAACGATGCTATGGGGCCAAAGTGAGCGCAACAGACGCAGGACGAACGGTGTCCCACGATCTGGGTGTGAAATATGAATGTAGTGAACGCTCCGATATCAGGGAACTACAGCCGTACAATGGAGGCCTTTCACTGGGAGTGAGGGAGACGGCTAGAAGACGACAGTAGTCGACGTGGCGAGTCGCAAGCTGGTGCCACGACAACGCCAGGCTATTATAGGCCTGGTAAATAGCCTAGACAGAATGATCCTGAACCAGGCCCAAAGCGCCTTGTAAGCGCTTTAATGAGAATCCAAAAAAAGGCTTCCCAACAGGTCAGGCTAATTAGGATCGGTAACTGGTCTACCCTAGAGACTGATCCAGAGACAGACTCAAGCCGTCGCCACCAGTGACGATGCTTCGGCTCTGGCTGGAACGCCAAAACCTCACTCACACGCACAACGCGAGTTTGTGAACAGAATGTGTGGCTTTTAGAAATGCAGTTTGAGGAAACAGCGCCGAGTGTTGGGTTCTAATCGAAGCCACTAAGTGGTGGAGCAGCAAGGGACCGAAACGCATTAGGCTACACCAACGAACCCCTGAACGACGACGCATCGGCCATGGATGATCATCTTGATCAAAGCCCCTGAACACCCCCGACAAATCTCGTGGTGCTTGAAGGAAAAACCTCGAGATTTCCCGTTGGACATGAAGGGTGACAACGCAATCGTTGCCGTTGGATGCGTGTTTTGGACGGCTGGATGCGCCCGAATTACTACAGCAGGCGCCTTCCCCTTTTTGTTTCCGCATGACCCCCCTCTCCAAACCATCCGCCTCGGCTCTTGCTCGCCTTTGGACGTGGTTGCGTGTGGGGAAAATGGAGATGAATTTTTGAACATTTGCAAGCTTGAATGTTGAAGGTGGATTCGGACGATGATTGGTTCGTGCCTATCCAGAGGCAAAAGTTTGGGTGCGATCATCCCTGCCTGTGTGCCATGAGAGTATCGTCACCGTGAAGCCATCTCGGACAAAAAAATTCCGTTATGCAACAACTTCCACAGACATTGGTGATGTGTCCGTACATGCAAATCACAATGGATGCACCATTACGAGAGTGATGTACATGTCTAGTTCATAATATCATAATACTTCAAGAGTGTAAGGAAATTCCCTTTTCCTTACTTCGCGTCCCTGCCCAGCGCGTACGTCACTGTAGCACCTCAGTCAGCACCGTTACCACTCGCGACCATCGCATCATTCATCATCCCGCCTTTTTCGCACATCGCATCCCGACCTCACGGCTCGGCTGGTAACCCGCGCTCCGGGCCTACGCTTCGACACTTTCCCAACCTCAGTCTCAGGCTCGACGCGCGACAACCACAGTCCATTACCGTTACCACTATTGTTTCGCTATATAACCCTTCGCTCATGCCTTCGCTCATTGTATTTTTTTGCTTCGATAGTGCAATTCTCGTTCGTTCACTCAATTGCACACGTAACACTTGGTATTCAGAGCCTACGATCTCATCTCGGACCGCATCCACACCTTCGCTTCCCACTATCTCAATTTTTGGGGGGGGTAGACGTCTCTCAGCGACACAGCACCGCCGCTCGAAGTGCTCTCTCGCAAGCACGCACGGCCACGACCGAGGCTCTCGCTGAGCTTGCCCGACACCCCCGCCATGGCCGACCTCACTCTCGCCACGTTGACGCAGGAGCAACTCGATCGTCTCGTGCGACAATTGGAGGATTCGGCGCTTGAAATCGCGACGCTCACGGCGGAACGTGACTCCGCCCGTCAACAGTCAACGGTGAATGCTCCGACAACATCCCACGCACCAACCAATGTCTCTGTACATTCGGAGGAGCCGATTATCATTTCATCCGGCACACCAACGCAACACAACAGCACGGGACAGCGCTCAGGCGCAGCCAGTGACGGCGCAGCCCAACCGATGCCCGGCATGGGAGGGAACAGGAGCACGCTAAGCCCACGGGAGCCCCGAGAAGCCCGTCGGCACGTGGAGTTTGCGACGACAAGTGGTGAAAACGCCATGATGGCCCCAATGCCACTCAAGCCGCAACGCCCGCCCTGCTTCGACCCAAGCCAACGCGGCGGCCCGACAGTTCAATCGTGGGTCTTCACGATGAATGTGTTTTTCGACGCCAACTACGTCGAGTCGGACGCCGCCAAGATTCGGTATGCGGTTTCACTACTCAGGGGCCCCGCCATGGACTGGTGGCGAGTCATCGTGACATCGCCATGCGCCTACGAGCCACCGTCGCACGAGGAAGGGCCCTCGGGTCCAGCTGTCACCTGGAGTTCGTTCTGCGAAACAGCCCAATACAGCACGTGGGATGCGTGGTGCGCAGGGCTTCGGGCGCGTTTTGAGCCGATCGCGGCTTCGATTTCGGTGCGTCAGAAACTGCGCACTTGGCGCCAGCTCGGGTCGGTTCAAGACTACACCAGCGGTTTTCTCGCACTTTGCGAACAGGTCGGCTACATGCACGAGGCGGAGCGGGTGGACCGTTACGTCGGAGGGCTGAAGCCGGACATATCGCACGAGATAATGCTACGCGGGCTATCGAATTTCAACGAAATCCTCGCGCTCGCCGAGAAAATCGATATCCTACGCCGACCGAGACCGGGGTCCTATTTCGGACATCGCCCTCGGGGACCGATCGAGCACGCCACTGTACATGCCGTCGCAACGAATGCAGCTGCCACGCCATTTAGAGGGCGCTGCTTTGCTTGCAACCGGCCGGGCCATCGCAAGAGCGAATGTCCAGAGGAGCTGAGGCGTCGAGGAGCAGAGCAGGGAAAGGAGTCTCAGAGGCAGGGAAACGCCAGCAGTCAGTAGAAGTTGGGCCAACTACTGACGAGACTGCCTGCTCGCCCAACCACACCGACCCTCACCGAGTCACAGTACCGATTCACGCCATCGATCGGGCTCGGATGAATAAGGAGGGTACAGCGACGGATTGCCCGGTACTGATCTACGGGAAAATACAGGGAGCAGCAGTGAAAATCTTCATTGACGGAGGAGCAAGTCACAGCTTAGTTAATACTGCAACCGCACGGAAATTACAGTTAACACTTAACCGATGTTTACCTGAGATAGATGCACGCTTAGTCGACGGCACGCCATTGGCCATACGAGAAAAGGTGGAGCGAGTAAAAGTCCGCTGCGGGGGAAACTTCGGGTTTACACAGGAAATGCTCGCAACGACGCTGGATGGGCACGACATTTTACTGGGACGTGATTGGCTGCGACGGTACAACCCACGGATCGACTGGACGACGGGGAGCTGCACAGTGCGAAGTAGCGGTAACTGGGTCGTCCTACCTCGCTGGCGGCCACCCGAATCTTCGACAATCCAGGTCAACGCCATCGCGATGAAACGGGCTGTCGCTGCTGGAGCTGACGTGTACGCAGTGGATATCGCAGTGGTAGAAAAAGACGAGCAGCAGAACGATTTACAGAAACTGCTAGCAGCCGTACCGACCGAATTACAAGCACTACTGAAACGGTTCCCGGGGATATTTCCGGATGATTTACCACAGGGACTGCCACCTCAGCGAGCGCACGACCATAGGATCGAGCTAGAACCGGGGGCACAGCCAACAGTACAGCGGCAATTTCGACTGACACAGCCCGAGCTCGACGAGTTAAGGAAGCAGTTAGATTACCTGTTAGAGAAGCAGTTTATTCGACCGAGCTCGTCACCGTTCGCCGCACCCATACTGTTCACACCGAAAAAAGACGGAGGTTTTCGCATGTGCATCGACTACCGAGCGCTTAACCGAGTAACAGTCAAATCGCGATACCCCATCCCCCGCGCCGACAAACTGATTGACCAACTGCGAACAGCACGTGTCTTTTCGAAAATAGATTTACGAGGAGGTTACCATCAGATTCGCGTCGAACCATCGGACTGCGCAAAAACAGCATTTAGAACTCGGTACGGGTCATTCGAGTATACAGTAATGCCCTTCGGGTTGACGAACGCGCCTGCGACTTTTCAGATGACCATGAACGAGGCATTTAGGCCACTTTTAGATAAATGCGTCATCGTTTACTTAGACGATATCCTCGTTTACAGTCGGGATAAGCAGCAACACTTAGCAGATCTTGAAGCAGTTTTTAAGGTTTTGGAGGAACATCGGCTGCTCACGAAGGGCTCCAAGTGCGAGTTTTTTAGGGATTGGCTAGAGTTTTTAGGTCACGTCATTTCAGAGGCTGGGGTTGAGATTGACCCAAAGAAGCTGGACACGGTAAAAGCGTGGCGCCCCCCGACGAACATCACGGAACTGCAGAGTTTTTTAGGGTTTGTTAATTACGTTCGACGGTTCGTGCCCGACATGGCACGTTTAACCGCCCCACTAACTGATTTACTGCGTAAGGGGGTCGCTTTTACGTGGGGGGAGAAAGAGCATGCTGCCTTCTCTGCCCTAAAAAACGTTCTCTGCTCACCACCCGTCCTACGCATCGCTGATCCCCACCGCCCTTTCGAAGTGGTTACCGACGCAAGTGACATCGCCATCGGAGCTGTACTGTTACAGGACTTCGGCAACGGCCTCCAACCCATCGCCTACGAATCACGAAAACTACATCCGCCTGAGCGAAATTATCCGATACACGACCGCGAAATGCTCGCGATCGTGCATGCATTCAAAGTTTGGCGCTGCTACTTGACTGGCGCAGACGTGACAGTACGGACAGACCACCGATCTCTACAGTACCTCCGCGCACAGCCCCACCTCAACCCACGACAGATTCGATGGCTCGATTTCCTCGAGTCGAATTTTCACTATACGGTCACATACAAAAAGGGAGCATCGAATATCGCCGACGCACTGACCCGCCCCACTGCCCAGATCCACGCGATACTACTC